AGACAAGGTGTTTCTCAGCCATTAGACAACTGGCTGGAACATAAGTGAATTTCTCTTGATTTGTGATCTAACTAAATTTCCAGCAAGGGTCTCAGTTAAGGAACAGGGTTTTGAGGAAATCTGTTTTATCACCTATTGATTTCTTAATCCTCTATAAGATGAGGGTACTGGTATAATTTTCTGACGTGTGTGTGTGTGTGTGTGTGTGTGTGTGTGTGTGTGTGTGTGTGTGTGTAAGGGGAAAGAGCATTTATATTTCTTATAAGCATTTTGTATTGAGAGACTACTGTCAGCAAAGTTAGATTTTCCGGGGCCCAGGTGGCTGTGAGCAGGAACCTAAACTTCTATACCCTTCGAGGAAACTTAGCCGGGAGAGAATGAGTTGGCTCCAACCCCAAAGAGCCATCTAATGCATATTCTTCAGCCCTCACCCTGGCCTCTAAGTGTCAGGAGTTGTATTGCCCTCCTCTTTCCTAGAGACTGGGTAATCCCCGTCTGGGTTGACAAACAGAAGGGGTTGCAGCCCAAAGAAACAGGAGTGATAACATTAAGCCCTCTCAGCTCCAACCTCCTCCTGGCCCTCACCAAGTGTTGAAGCCTGCCTTCTCTGCTGTGTCAGCCAGCTGGCAGGAGGAGGACAGGTTTGATGGTTTAATCACCCAGAGACACAAGTGGCTATTTTTAACTGCTCCAAAAAGGAGGAAGCTGACTCTGGATTGAATTGGACACAGGAATGTATTGGAAGCTTTAGCTCTTTCATGCTGCCCTCTCTACTCCAGACCCCTTCAGTAAGAGGCTATTAAATGTTTGTAACTCTGTCCTGTCTTTCCTGGCACAGAATTGTATAGCTACACTGAAAACCTGGAATTCACCACTAACAGGAGGTGCTTTGAAGAAGATTTCAAGACTCAAGGTGATTCCAGACCCTTATTTTTTTTTCTTTGTGAAACCTTCACCTGATCTAGAAAAAAAACTAAAACAAAGTATGATCCTTCTTCATCCGCTTCATAACCGTATAACTTTTCTATCCCTTCTTGCATATGGGACAGAGTTTCCTATATCTCAGGAGGAGAGGCCCTGGAGTGGAAGCAAGAGAAGCCTGAACTGTGTCCCCTTCCCTGATGTAAAGGGCCAAGAGGCCAGAGGGATGGGGAGGTGGGGCTGGGCTGGTGCCCTGCTGACTGGTAGAACCCTGTGCTTAGCCTAGTCCTTAACCTTAATGTTCAACCCTTGCTTCCAACTCTGCCTCACTCTCAATAGCATACTATATACTAAAAGGCTAATATGCAAATTGTCCCCTCTGGCTGGCCGGCCGGCCAACCACCTGTG